AGGAGGAGGAAGGTGGAGAGAGAGAGAAGGGGGAATTGTCATTGGTCTTGCTGGTGTACTTCTTCTTCTTCTTCTTCTTCTTCTTCTTCTTCTTCTTCTTCTTTCTCTCTCCTCTGGTCTTTATCTCTTTGCAAGTCCTTTCATTTCTTTCGCAATTGGGTGGCATTGTCTTTCATTGTGAATTTGCACTTGGGAAATGACCAGGATCGTAACAACACATTGGAAAATGGGGGATTGATAACTGTTGAAAGAATGAAATTTTCGGATGAAGAAGAAAATAGAGTAATGGAAGGATTTAATATTTTCCCAAGGAAAATCCCATTCTATCCCGAATGACCATTTTCCCAAGGAAAATCCCATTCTATCACGAATGACCTTTCTTTTTGTGCCCGTCTAAATGAATCTTAAGTCCATTCTTCTCTATCTTTTTTTTTTTTTCCGTGTAAGTCAACCCCATTGAAAAGTATAGGAAAAATGACTATACCTAGGGATTGGGACTTCTTCTCCCGAGGAAGTATCTGGGGCAAGGGTTCGTTGCTTTAGGAGTCGGCCATGTTATTGACCCAGAGTGGACCGTACTACGGGGGAATACCTTGATGTATCGCGGTGGAGCCTGCCTAACTTTTGAGATCCGAATAATGTGTTCGGGTGAAAAGGGGGGTTATTTCATACCACTTTCTAGAGGGTGGGGTGTTCCCGGTCGAGGGCAGTCATTTTCTCATACTTTCAAGTGGGCGGACGGCTGAAATTATAACCCTTTTTGGGTGGCCGCCTTAGGTGCCACCGACATATGGGGAACTGGTGCCAAAAGAAGTCCAGTTCATGGCCTCCCAGGAGTTATATTTTCATTACCGAGCGTGAACTTCATATGGTGCGGTATGATTTTGCCTCTTATTCCGACACAAGATTTTGGGGATATGAATCTCGTCATGGTTTATGAGTCGAATCGAATAGGGAGGACGCTCCGGAGGTCAGGAGGATGTTCCTTCGCATTCTGCTATGGATGAATGATCAGCAAGGCCCTTTCTGTCTTCTCAATCATGTGAGGCGGATTCGGACCAATAAATTCGATATTTTTCGCTCTGAACGTTTTTCTGTTTATGCAGTCAGTGATGAGGAGTATGAGATCGGAGAACGTCTTCATGATTGACGTCACCTTCGGATGTGCAAATAGTCAGCGGTCGCCGGGCTCTCACTCAGGCGAGGTATTCGCTGATTCACGATACATTGGACGAGGAGCTGATTCGGCGCGCAGAGCGACTTTTATTTGTATGGATGATGCGCCCACTCGTTGAGTTGGTTTCGTTGATTTGCTCAGAGATGGGTAAGGTTTTTTTCCTAACTTGCATGCGGATGTACGTGCCAATGTGGCCCGACTCCGAGAGCAACCTCCAATGCCTCTCTTGGGTCATTATAAGTGTTAAGATTACCTTATCCGGGGAACGCTATGGCGTCATTCGGATTAGGGACACTACAACTAGGCACCTCTTTCGGATACGGCAGTCGTTTCGTGCCATATTTTGGAGGCTAGCCTCACGGATGTCTTCCCTCAATGGTACGCGGACGGTTCGGGTTGTGCGAGGTGGACGCATTACCGCCATGACTTTTGATAGTGAGGATTTTGCACGACTCGACCAGATTGAAGCCGAGGCCCACGAGGGCCGACAACTTTATCTGGGCTAGACGTGGCATTTTTATGACATTCAGGGGCCATGTCGATATTGTCCCTATGTTAGAGTCGTGGTTATACAACTCGACAAGGGTAATGAAAAAAAAAAAAAAAAACTTGTATAGATAGGACCAACCAGATGGATAGTATTCGGATTACCCCAATGATCTCACTATCATGCTTAAGCATTGAGGGGTAATCAAACGCGTAACAACGTATGCCATGCGTGAGAAATATTTCACCAGGTCATACGAAAATCTTTTAAGAACCAAAAGTTGGAAAAATGTCAGGCCTCTGGTAGGCATCGAACAATTATTAGCCATCATTAGCTAACTTACTTCAGGCGAAGACAGTTGGAGGTTGTACATTCTTTGTGAAAAGACAAAAGATTGCGATTTTATTTTGAGTAACCTGATGATGAAGATAGATACTTCATTATTCGACGGAACATAAAAGGTAATTACTACTCAAAAGGATAAAAACAACGTTAGATAATACCTTTCTCCGAGCAACTGCATATGCTGCGGAGGTGAGGTCAAATTGAGAGTTCAAATTTTGGCCGGGAGCCAGATCACTTGTTGATCTGTATGGTAGCAGTGAAATTTACTTGCAGAAGTCGTTCCTGGCAGAGTTTAGTAAGTGTGTCGATGAACCAAACCATAAGTCAAATGTTAGGTTGTACATTCCTAATCTTTCGCCAATAGCGAGTTTGCGTCTTGGAAAAGGCGGTATAAAAGTTCTCTTGTTATGTGTCGTTCCCAAGTTATCGCTTGTTAATGTTTTTTTTTTTTTTTTTTTTTTTTTTTTCCTCTTCCGTGACATAGCCGGGAGGGCTCCCGCGCTTGCTAAAAAGTGGGAGCCGATGCGCTCGACAACGTGACCTTCGTGGCGACCCGCTTACTCTTGCACTTAGCCATGGTGTGACCATATTGACCACAGTTCAGGCAAGCGCCTCGTGCAACGGGGTCTCTTCACACCTCGTACTCTAGGCCAAGCTTTACCCATATGGGTTTTCCTTGGTTGTATTGACCCTTGGGCCGTCCTGCCTTCTGCTTTCCGACCCCCTTAGCTTTTTTCCTGACAGGAGCGACTACTCCACCATTTGAAGTATCTACGCCCCCATCTACCTCTGTTTCTTCCCCAAGGTCAGAGAAGTCGTCAATCTCAGTCACTTGACCGTCGTGGTCAACGAACATGAGGTTGCCCTTCTTTCTTCCTTTCCTGAGGGAGCTTCTTCTTCTTTCCATCCGCCGGTCCCTGCTGGGCACTTCCAAGCTTAGCCTCTATATCTAAGGTTTTCTTGCTGAACGAGGCGAATTTATGTACATCTATGGAGGCCTCACTTATTTTTGACATTTGTGGGCAGACATCGCAAGTAAGTTGTGAGGAGAACCTTCGGATCGTACCGCACGCGAGGAACAACAATCAGTCACTCTACGGCATCTGTAACTTCGCAAACTGTCTGGTATCTTTTTGATCCTAGACTAGCCAGCGAATCGGTGGCCTCCTGAGCCCCTTGGGGGTCATGCCACCTATTGTAGACCATCCGTACAAACTCTTCCAACGTCCGGGCCTGTGCCCAGCCATCGAAGTTCTGACGGTATCCTTGTTGCTTTACTAATCCATTCAGCCATCTGGCTGCAGATCCTTCTAGCAACGACTATAACTTTTTCTTCGGTCCTTGTGAGCTTATGCCTCACATACGGGGGCACAATCCTCACCCAGGTATCCAGGTCCTCTTGCTTCTTCTTGTCGCCAGAGAAGGGTTTAGGACTCAGCAAAGGTATCTTAGGGGTCCACTACATGGGTTGTATAACACCCTGTGCCCGTTGCATTGGTTGTGAAACCAATGGACCAATCTGTTGCTGCAACACTTGCTGCTGCAAGGGTAACTGTTGCACAGGCTGCTGTACATGCGGCTGTCCTGTAGCCGCAGCCGCTGACTGTGGAAGCGAAGAAGTTAAAGGAACCTGCCCACTACTACCTACTACTAGACCGCCTGATAGGGGCATGCCAAACTGAGGAGAAAAGGGTTGCCCTATCGGTTGCAGCGTCACTGTGAGACCTGCAACCGTAGGGGGAGCTACAACATA